TTTGTCGATTTGAGCTACATATCAATGTTGATGAATGCCTCACAAGATTCTGGGTAGCTAAGATTGGGTTAAATCACCTGTTCAATGACTTTTTAATGTCGTGTTTCCATTGAGAAATTGTATACCGTATTCCACTGATTAGTTTTTAAGGTGTTTTAATGCGTCGAGGAGGGGGTTCTCTCCATCACGGTGTATCAGTCCCCACTTCCCTAGGCCTTGCTTTCCCAGCTTGTGTCACTGAAGCACTGCTGCAGGTACGATTATCTCAAGTAAAAATTTTTCTTGATAGAAACTCCTTTAAGAGCTGCTTCAAAGCTTATATTTGTGCTTTTTGTGCCCCTTTACTTCTAGGACGCAGTTTCAGATGCGAATAAAACGAGAATTATTGACGTATTTTGTATAGTCCATGTACAATGATTAGTAGTTAAAATTGTAATTTTTTAACGCAATTTTAGGTCTCAAAACACATCCGGTTGTCGAGCCATGGAAGAGGACGGCCATCTTTAACAAAAAACAATGATTTGCAGCTGCTGATTGATAACGAGATCTTTTGCTTGGCTGCTGATAGGAAAACATCACGTCTATCTCATCTCCAGGAATTTACTTTGATCAATCTTTTGGCTCACTTTTTTACGGTAAGCTATTTTCGTGTTCAAGTTTCAGACTTTGTTAACTAATTATCAATATTATGAGCTTGTTAAACCTCATGAAAGTTAACTGAGTGGATATTTTGTTTCTTATTGCTGAGCGGCCGGAAAAAGAAAGCAGTTTATCCCTTAGGAGCGTGATGAAATGAATAAGTATACATATTTCGAAGTGCTGTTCCTTGGGAGAGAAGGGGATTCACACATCCACGAACAAAGGCTTCGTATTTTATATCGTCTGGCCTCTTATGCGTTACAATTTCCTGTTCTGCAGCTTTATGCACAGATCTCACTTTGGTTATCTAAGGTAAGGCGTTTTTCTTCTCTAATACGTTCGCATATCAAGAGTATGCTTTAGGTAGGCAGTAGTAAACCATACGCCGAGGAGTTGGTTGCGGTCTTGGCCGAGCATTATCTGAAGCCTGCTGACTCCAAAATAGTGAGTTTTACATAAGTATTTTTTGAACTAATGCTTTCCTTGTAGCTGATTAGTGAGTATAAGAGACTGCATTACAACCATATTCATTACATTATACCTTTGGCAAATTATGTGCATTCACTGATAACATCTTTTATCGTTTGTTATGTTAACTTCTCTCTTACTCAGTTTAGCCATATGCCACCATTCTCATTTTCTTATTGCTTTATTTTGTAACCTTCTATTTTCACAAATGCTGATGATTTTTCGAGTTGTAATAGTGTAATTTTAGCTTTTTCTTTTCAGAGTTTTTTTTTCATAATCTACTAATTGATTTCTTGATGTGGCTATAAAATACGCTAATTTCTATTGTTCTCATCGTCCACTTTTACTTTTCAGC